CAAAGAACTTGATGTATGCCCCCCATGTTGAGTCTAAGGCTCTGTGAATGGCGTCATAACATTACCATCACTATTGATCATTCCAAACTCCTTCGTAATCACAATTAGAATCATCCAACTCTTTCTGAATCCTCTGCACGGTCCTCAGATTGACTCCCAAACACCCTGATATGTTCGTATTGAAATTTCCGCTGCAAACACCAAGCAGTACAACATACCGTTTTCAAATTTCTGGTGGAGTGAATTGCCTCATCGTACTGTTTTTCTCATATATGGTACCCAACTGCCTCTACTGTGCAGTCGACAAAATAAAAATAAAAACAAACGATGCGCATGCGCAAAATTAAAGATATGAAATTTACTCATCCTCATCTGCATATAAATCTAAGTGTGAAATATTGTCAGTGAGTGCTGGCGGCAATAAAACTGCTCAATGTAAAATAACAGACCTAAACCTATTAAATGAATAAAACGATGAGTATATATATATATATATATATATATATATATATATATATATATATATATATATATATGTGTGTGTGTGTGTGTGTGTGTGTGTGTGTGTGCGTTAAAAAATATAGTTTTAAGTTATGTTATATTTATGGATATAAGTGCTCAATATAAGAGATTAAGTATACGTAAATATAAAAGTGAATGCTGTGTTACGACAGTCTGTTTCATACTTAAATACAATTTTCTAGACATGTGTGGTAGCTTGACTATATATGTATTTTTTTTTTAATCATTTCAACCCAAGCAAGGTGCTAAAGCCACTAAGATGCCAACGTGGGTTACTGAGTGTTAGAGAATATGAGTACCACTATTATTAAAGAGAGAGGACAATAAAAGGACAATAATCAAGAAGACAGAAGATAACGATAAACTGTTTCATTTAAATCTTTAAAGATCCATTTTGACTGGGAATAGAAATAGAATTCCACAACTGAGAAGTGCGATAGAAGAAGCTGTTAGCATAGAACTTACGGTTACATCTAGTCGTTTCAAATGCAAAATGATCTTTATGCCAATCTAATACTGCGCTTAAATTCATAAAGTTTACGCAACATAGAAGAAAGTTCATCAGAACAATTACCTTGAAAACATTTATAGAAAAGGCACAGAGAATCAAAGATCAACGGTGGGAAATTGCCAGGTCAGGACCAATAACATTACAAAACCATCTTTCGATTTTATCAAGAATCTCTAAATATATTGTAGGTACACAAGACCAGATGTGGCATCAATATTTATAGCAAAGACGAATGGTTGACGTTTAAATAATGTAATATTCCGACAAGAAAAAATGTCTCGCACGACATAGAGAACCAACTTTCTTAAATGCAGACTTAAACAATTGATTCAGTATAAACTTTCCATCTCATATCAGCCGAAAATGTTAACCCGAGATGGTACAATTAGTCACACTCCTGGAGGTTAGCATCAGCCATGCTGATGGAAGGTAAAACGATGATGATTAAAAGAGAGCAGTTTCGTTTTTGAAACATTAAAATTAACAAGCCATTAGAGTGCTTAAGCCACTTGACGTGTTGTGCATTATAATCAACAAACACAAAAATGTTCGCAGATGAATCTTGAGAGAAAGAGCCATTTCTATATTATCAGAAATTTTGTTTAATATATTACAGTCCTGTGAAGAAAGAGCGATAAAAGGAGAAGAGAGAGATAACAGAGTGCAATAATGAAAGTCAAAAGCGCATGAAATAATCATCTGAGATCTTACGGAACAATTCCCATGCAATTAGGAGATTTTTCCATATATAAACACTGAGACCATGCATGTTAGAATCTTTTCGTCAAAGAGGAATATAGCCTGGAACAGAGAATTCATTGGTAGCAATAGAAGAATTTAGTTTCACAAGAATACATAAATTAGAACGCATGCCATAAATATTGGAGAAAGAGTTTGAGTGCGGAGATTTTTTTTTTTGTTGTTTACTGGTTGATACGTATTTCTTTTCATTGTTTCATTGTATCTGTCATAAGATTTTTTAAGAAGAAAAAAGGCAAAATACTTATTATTATCTATCGCCTATAGCAATACAAACAGGCCAGAAGGTGGCTAAGACTAAAGCATAATGTAGCTTCAGGGTTGTCCACCGGAAGTACATACAGGGATGCCTAACCAAACGCCACATGCCACTACACATGCCCCGATATTATGCGGATGTTGATCAGAACAGCCACCCTTAGTGTTCGGAATCCTTACTACTGGTCGGAAGCAGCAACCAGAAAAGTGCCATCATAAGGAAAAATCGTAGCCACTGATCAGTTAAATCACAAAAGGTTAAGACAGTTAAATCAGAAAAAAGAAAGAACCGGTAAACCATATCCTAAACAGGAAAGAAGGATAAAACTTACACCTTATATATATATATATATATATATATATATATATTAAAATTTGGGTAATTAAGCCGAAACTTCTTTAGGCATGTCTGATTGAATAAATTAAAGATATTATATCTGCTAATTTTTTAACAAAATCCTTCCAACTCACGAACAACATTTCGTGTATTGATGTTAAAGGATGAGAGAAATGTGCAATAGCTGTTTAAATGTCTTTTATTTTCGTTTCCTAAGTACTTTCGATGTTTTTCCAAGCTCATCTTCAGGGGTGCAAGTAATACAAAACTATACGTTGTTCATTAATATAAGTATCTATACAAAGTTGTGCGTTGTTATCCATTACCGTCATTTTTTCATTATGTTGAGCGTTCATTAGAATATATATATATATATATATATATATATATATATATATATATATATGCTGGTCAATGGGGATGGGTCATTATGAGTAGCAACGTCAGGTATTTCCGGTTTATTATGTTATCCTAATGGTTATAAGATAGGCAGCAACGGTTATGGTCCAAATTATCCTAAAGGCTATTGATTCAAAATAATTGTGTATCAGAATTCAGTTATTTGTAGCTGTTGTATAAGAGGTTAATTGTTAATTTTTAAATCATCATTTATTATTAATTACTTAGGGTATTTTTAATTATTTCATTAATTATTTATTGTCGATTATTATTATTACATAGCTGGGTAGGTTTGAATTCCTTGTTTGTTAATTTTTTTTATTATTTACATTATTATTTTATTTATTTTATTTTATTTTTTTAAAATTTTTATCTTTTGGGGATTGTTTATCGTATTAGTTTTTTTTTTAAATTATTCGCCATGTTTAAAGTATGTTATATTATTGGCGTTGTATCTATCACATTTTTCTTGGTAATATTTTACAAGATATTCATTTTTAGTTTTCGATATTTAATTCAGTAAAGATTTACGTGTCTCCATTTTGAGATAGATTCTGATAGTTTATTTAGCAATTTTTGTTGGTCTGGGAATGTAATAATATTTATTTTCTCCTCCAAAGTTAGCAGTTTTTGAATGTATTGTTGCAGGCTGATGTTGTTTTCCTTATTTTCCATGATATTTTTGGTGCATATTTAGTATTAAGTTACCATATATATTTAGAAAGGGTTGTACTGTTCACATATTTACTACTGTTCACATAATTACTGCTGTTCACATACTTACTGCTGTTCACATATTTACTGCTGTGCTTATAGTTTTTCTGCGTATTAACGCACTTGGGAAAGGTATGGATCCAATTCTCCTTAACTTAGCTATGATTAAATAAAACTTTGGCAATCAATATTAAGCTATTGTAATTGCTGCTAGTAACAACCTATTGTATGTTATTTAGAAATAAATTGGACACCTACTTTTTTGTGAGAGAAGGCATCGGGTATTACTCATCATGGTACACTGACAATCTAATGGGTTGTGGCTGATTTTTTTTATTAAAATTCTAAAACATATCACTTTGTTTCACAGTAGATAACCTAAAACCAACGGGATAAATCGCTTCTTGTAAGTTCTCGTGTGATTAATCCTTGTGACTCGATAATCTACATGAACAAATAACTAATAATAATTCGATTGTGTTTCTATCTATTCAACTTGAATAAACGAAACAATTTATTTCGTGGAAAGAAAGTGAGTAACATTCATTTTCAAGACTTTAAAAAGAAGTATATTTAAAACATAAAACGTATTAATCATCACTATATTCTTCTTCTTCTTCTTCTTTTTCTTCAATGATTCTTCTTCTTCTATGAATCGTGTCCTTTCAGAACGTTGCCGATCATGTCACTCCACGATTTCCTTTCTTACCTCTTAATAAATTTTGTCATATTGTAATCTCTCCTAAACATTGTACCTCCAACCGTTTACATAAATAAGTTCATTCTTCTTCTATGAGACATGTCCCTTCAGGAAATTGATGATCATGTCTCTCCACAAGTTCCTGTCCTTTGTTGATCTAAATTTTGTCTTTTTATCTCTCCTAAACTACATCCTTTCATCCCTTTAAACGAGCTTGCTAAGTAGCTTATGCAATGTTTTCTCCTGTCCCTTATACCTTTAAACTGCCCTGTGAGTATTAAGTTTTCCAAGCTGTCTCTTCTCATTATGTACCTTACAAATTTCACCTGCGCCATTCTGATGTTATTAACTGTACTTTTGTTTCCATTTTCTCTAAAACTTCATCATTGCTCACATGTTAGGTCCATGGTATTCTCAGAATACTTCTATAGGATTACATTTTTGTTGTTTCAGATCTCTTATTCATCTGTGAGATATTACATAACAGTTTAGTACTTTTTTCTCTATTTATAGGGAAATTTTCCTGTTTCTTAATACTTTGCTTGGGTTTTGGAAGGGAGCTTTAGATATCCCAATGCAACTTTGGATTTCATTATAGCATTTTCCTCATCTGTTAGATCTCATGAACATTTGAACGCTACAAATAATGAAAAAATTCTTCAAAATCATCAAATATGACAATAATTAAAATCTATTCTACTTTCCTGAAGCTAAATGACGATGACGTGTGTTGTTCTTATCGACTGATAAATTATTTATTGTTGTCACCTGGAAATAAACAGTAAATATCTTTCTTTCAGGTTATGAAAATGTTGATAACGATCGTGGTAGCCTTTCTCATTTGTTGGGGTCCTCGTTTGATTTTTCGCGTCATGCAACGAAAAGGTGACCGTCATTCTGAACATGACCATACATTAAAGGTAAGTCTTAAAATCACGTACCGAAATGTTCTTCCTTTCTGTTTTTTTTTCTCTAGGTAAGAATAAAAGAGGAATCTATCCACATGAAGTAAAACCTAAAAGAATTCAAGAAACAACAACGCAAACCAAGAAATGATTCAAGAAACAAGAAAGCCAATAAAGGAATAATTCGGGAAAAATTTTGAATTATCAAAGAGGATGGCTTATCAGACGCAAACCAAGAAAGGATTCAAGAAACAAGAAAGCCAATAAAGGAATAATTCGGGAAAAAATTTTGAATTATCAAAGAGGATGGTTTATCAGACAACAGAAATGTGATTCTAAAGACGGATACAGAAGAGACAACGGAATGAACAGATGAATAACGAAGACGTTTTAAAGAAAATGGATGCAAAAAAAGGACACATACATGGCATTAGAAAGAGACAGTTTCTGGCGCACATAATAAGGAAAGAGGGTTTGGAGAATTCGACACTCACAAAAGAGATTGAAAGGCCGAGGAAAAGAAGGAAAAAATAACATCCAGAGCTTGTGTGAATGATTGGCAGAATGAGGATTAGGAGTGATAACAAAAAGTCAATATTTGATAATAGCTCAAAAGGACAGGAAAGTGTGAAGAGCCATGATCACCCACCTCCTGTAAAGTTATTTTTCGAAATATGTTTCTTAACTATATTCTTAATATAGCTTAATCATTTTTTTTTAAATTAAAAAAAAATTGAATTTTTAAGATGTGAAATTATTAATAAATTCTGTCTCATTCGTACTATTGCTCTCATATTTATTGTAAATATTATTAAAAACACGACGTTTCGGACATCGTCAGTTGTCTATTATTTTTGACTTGATATGGGATACCTAAAGGGTTGACTTATTTTGGTCCCTGTGATGGCGGTTTTTTTGTTAATGTATATTATTTACCTACATGATCCAGTCAATGAGTTCAATCCCTGGAGTAGGTAGTGAAAGAATATAATTTGGTTTAGTAGGAATGAACAAGAACGGGAATCACACAGAACAATATAACACAATAATCAACCCATAGGATCTCCCATATAGACAAAAATCACGGACATCTGAAGATGACCAGGAGAGTAGATGAACGAAACGTCCTGTTTATAATAACAATATCTGTAAGAATGTGTTATACCGGAACATACCTATTCTATTGTTAATAGACACTCCCACACATAATAAGTAGTAGTAGTATCAGTCGCCAGAGGGCTCAGTGGAGTTGAGTGAGTCAGTCGATGTCGGACATTGAAGTATCAACCACCACAACTAGATTGCTGCGTCATTAACTATTATTTCAAGTTCCTAACGTTTTGTACGTCGAACCTCATTTAGGACCGACTTAGTGAAATACAAGCCTCCACTGTGAAAACTACTCTACAACAGAATGAGAGATGATATTTATTCATTGAGTTCTTTTGAACATTATCTTCCGGTATCGACTGCCACATTGTTAGGTCCTTGATGTGAAGACATAACAGGCAAAAAATTGATAAAAGACTTCTTTTGCCAAAGGCAGGGCAATATGCAGATGAAGAAGGCCAAGGAATGTATCAACTGAAATGTTCCGACGAAAACAACAAGGAAACTAACCCAAAAATCTATAGCACTGACGTTATGAATCTAGATTATCATATTTAAAAATAAAGAATGTTCTCGCCTGTCCTTCATATTAATTTTCTTTTTTTTGGCAAGGAATATTAGTCAAGTGGTTAGACTGAAAAGAAGACTTTTCAACGCTTCAAATCGAGATATTTTTCTGCACTCTGGCCCGATTCTCGGAATGGAATTGATCTTTGATATTTACAAATGTTTAGGCAATCTGGCGTTGGTCCACAAGGGTGCGAAACCTAGATGGGATGAAAGTCATAGGCACGATGATAGTCTGTGAGTACACCCTTGTGCAAACAACTGCTTTAGTTTCCTTTCTTTCACCATAAGGTCGGTTTTAGACACACTCTCTATTTTTTTACTCAGATTCGGTCATTTGCAGAGGTGTTAGTAATATGAATCTATTTTCGGGGTGTATGATGAATTTTGTTTGACCTTGAAAAATATTGCGTCATCCGTGATTGCATCAGCTTTTTATCTCGCCCAGACTTTATTGTCTCGATTGTCGGTTAGTTGTCCTGCGGCCATTGTCTGCGATGGACGTTACTCCAAGGAAGCGTACGAAAATTGTAACGTATCACGAACACACTGACAAGCCTTATCAGTGAGTAAATCAAAATACTATAGACTGGCCCGGAAACTCTCCCGATTGAAATCCAAACGAGAATCTGTGGTCAATCTGCAAGGAACGACTTCGTGGAATGGATATAAAAAGTACTAAAATCTGCACCGGGCTATTTTTCATTGGACAAGTACAAAAATAAATAAATAACGGAATTATTCGTTTTGTTTCAATGAATTTGAACAAGGGTGTAGTGTTTGCTACACTTTGCTCTCTAGCGAGTCGCGCCTATGCACCAGCCTTATTATATAAGACTACGAGTATAGGATATTCAGTGAACATTGAAATCCTTCTAGTAGCCATTTTAGTAAGACATGATATTCAAGTAATTTGATATTCGCCAAATTGAAAATGGTCTTGTAATATAATATGCTTATGTTTGACTCAGTCAGTGATGAACTGAGCAAAGAGTTCATTTCTAGTGTCTAATAGTTCAACTGAAATGAATCTGTCTTAATTGAATTTAGATTATTGAAGCATCGTTTTGATTATATCACGTCGAAGGAAATGAAGTCAAGCGAACATTTTTTGTTTGTATTTTTTCTTATCAGTTTCGCAAATTAATGAAGACGTGATTTCGCATAATCACCAAAGATGAAACATTTTCACTAAAAACTATTGATCAATCAGGAATTTTGAATTATAGAATTAAATCTGTTTTCTCTTTCGCTTCTTTCTTTCTTTCTTTCTTTCTTTCTTTCTTTCTTTCATCTAAGCTTGAAGTGAATTTAAGTAGACTTCATGCAAATGAAATAACAAGTTTTTAATTATCTATAACTGATATTCATGCATTGTTAAGCATTTTAATTAAAAATGCTCACAATAAAATTAAAATTTCTTACACGACAAGATCTTGTGACAGACAATGATATGCTCACTAGATAACGAAAATTACTAAGAAGCCACTAAGATAACCCACTTTGAGTATATTAACACAAATTATAGTATATTAAGACAGATACGTACATACCATATTGACACATCATTCCTTTCACCATTGCTCAGTTGAGAAAACAGTGGGGCTGACACAAAACGATTTTAACCCAGTCCTTTTCTACTTGAATAACTCAAAGGGATTCTCACGACAAATGCTGTCAAGATGGCTAAATCCCTTATCTGAAAACCTGCAAACGAGAAACTCAATTAGTTTAGTGGCTTTTGAGACATTAAGCGTTTTGTTCGATGGACAATTATCTCATTCTATTACACGACTTGGACTTTGCTGTTAAACCCAGGATATATATATATATATATATATATATATATATATATATGATTATTTATTTAAAAATTATAACATAAATATGTTATAAAATCACTACAAAAATAGCCATTTCGTTTCAACACCTCCAGTGTCTTATCAAGTGATGATGTTGAATGTAGAATAAATGGTTTTATAGGAAACCTTTAAAACTATTTATTCTACATTCTAAACCTTTAAAACTATTTATTCTACATTCAACATCATCACTGGAGGTGTTGAAACAAAATGACTATTTTTTGTAGTGATTTTATAACATATTTATGTTATAATTTTTTGAATAAATATTTATATCTGCTCTACTATATATTGAGCACTATTTTAAGTATATTAATTGTTGGTAATTGAATTTATTCCGTATAGACCAATCCTATACTTGTATATATATATATATATATATATATATATATATATATATATATATATATATATAGGTTCTATAGTTTTGGATTACAACTGGTCTTGGAGAAGGACAACTCTAAATCCAAAATCTGCGGAACGTCATTTGGGGACGGGCCTTTATGGCATGTAGCGTCATGCACCAGGTCTCTGTATTCGGCCCTTCAAAAAGTGTGGTGGGTTCTGCATAAAACCTTCACTACTATCATCAAATCATATGTGCTGGTGTCTGGGCTGTCGGTTCCTAGGAACTGAGCTGCTTGACTCTCATACGTTGAATACGACGGGAGAGTCCACCATATATATATATATATATATATATATATATATATATATATATATATATATATATATACCCAGGTATGATGAGAACAGATAGAGTGAAATTGCAACTTTCGTAATATCTAATTTAAAGGAGGATTCAATACAAAGCAGAGTAGTAGTATTTATTTTAGGATATTACACCGAAAATATATCGAAATCGCTACACAATTGCAGTCGTGTTTCGATGCGAATCAATGCATCTCATCAGGCTATTTTAAATTACTGGCGAGTGAACGATTGTATTACATTTAAAAGGAAAATACAGCATCTTTGTACGTTGTATTTACTTTAAAATCTAAATAAGTCGAACAGTCTAGTACCCTTTGAGAGGTGTGTTACATGAAACCATAGAAAATAGCCATTGCCACTGAAGGTTAAGCTTTTTAGAGAGTACTGTATGCTCTAACGAGATATGCTAATCTGCCATAGACGCTGATAACTAAAAGAAAATGATATTGTATAAACTGAAGCGCTGATATTTTGCTATTATATGTATTTTTATGTCATGACAAATATTGCCAACATTTATTTTGAAAGCTTTTACTTGCATTATAAAATCAAATATTATAGAAAAACAAAGGTTACATTTTTTCTAAGTTCTTCATAACATATATATATATATATATATCCGTTTTTTGTATTGTTACAGGTCGTGTTTGGTTTGCTACCTTATATCCAGTCGTGTCTGAATCCAATCATTTACGGATTTATGTCGAAAAACTTCCGTCGGAGCATGCGCATGGCGTGTCGTAACCATATTTGCCGAACGCGAGAGAAGCAGATCTGCATGGGACATCGCATCCACTTGTCCGACTATGAAATGGAATCACGAAGCATCAACGGTACAATAGCAACTAAAATGTCCCTTCGGACAATCGAGAGCGTCTCGTCAGATGACAACTGA